CTCACCGGGCGACACTGCTCCTCGGTGAGAAGGGTCTCCTTGTTCTCCTCGGGGAGACACTCCAGGGCGTCGAAGTAGAGCCATTGGGTGATGGGCGTGAACTTCCCCGACACCGCCTGGGTCACGTGACACCCCCAGAGGTCACGTGATCCCGCAGGGTCACCTGATCCCCCCCAGGGGTCCCAGGTGTCCGGGGGGAGCCATGAGCCCCCAGTCCCCAGCCACTGGGGGAAACTGGTCCCAGTATGGGGTGGGAGAAGGGGAATTGGGAGTACTGGGAGGGACTGGGAGAGACTGGGGAGGGGACCCAGAGGTCCAGGGGGAGCCATGAGCCCCCCAGTTCCCAGCCACAGGGGGAAACTGGTCCCAGTATGGGGGGGGGGAAAGGAAACTGGGAGTACTGGGAGGGACTGGGAGAGACTGGGGGGAGCCACAAACCCCTCAGTTCCCAGCTGTAGGGGGAAACTGGTTCCAGTATGGGGTGGGAGAAGGGGAACTGGAAGTACTGGAAGGGACTGGGCGTACTGGGAGGGAACTGGGAGGGACTGGGGAGGGGACCCAGAGGTCCAGGGGGAGCCATGAGCCCCCCAGTTCCCAGCCATAGCAGGAAACTGGTCCCAGTATGGGGGGGGGGAAGGGAAACTGGGAGTACTGGGATGGACTGTGAGTACTGGGAGAACTGGGAGGGACTGGGGGCAAACTGGGAGGGACTGGGGAGGGGACTGGGGTGTCTGGGGGGAGCCACGAGCCCCCCCCGTTTCCAGCCACAGGGGGAAACTGGTCCCAGTATGGGGTGGTGGGAAGGGGAAGTGGGAGCACTGGGAGTTACTGGGAGGGAACTGGTCGTTACTGGGCGTTACTGGGAGGCCCCCCCGTACCTTCATGACCTCCTGTGCCGCCAGCCCCCCCAGGAAGCTGGTCCCAGTATTGGGGGTGGGGGAAGGGGAAGTGGGAGCACTGGGAGGGACTGGGTGTTACTGGGCGTTACTGGGAGGGAACTGGGGGTGTTACTGGTGGTTACTGGTGGTTACTGGTCGCCCCCCTGTACCTTCATGACCTCCTGGGCCGCCAGCCCCCCCCCGG